CAACAGGAAAAACAGGATTTTTGACTTACATGCACACTCCGTATATAGAAGTACATTACAGAACACAGGGAATGAATTCTGGAGCCAATGGGTTATGCAGTGACCTTCAAGTGACTGGACACGGGCAAATCAAGGCTGTAAGACAGCTCTGTATGGTCCTTCTCGCCCCAGCCTGCCCCCATTTTGTAGCATGCAGTACATGAGTGGATCACAGAAAACAGAAGGGAGGGTCCTGTGTTCTCTGATGTACCCCACAAAATGGTTTTATAAGTAAGACAAAAAATCCTGTTTTTTTTATCTCAGGACACAGGGTGGAATAGCACAGAGGAGCAGTAATAAGCAAAAAAATTAATAAACAGACAAAATTGGTCAAAATGGCCACAGTGTTTATTAAGAAGAAACCCAAAGTTCAATCATGAACATTAAATAACCAAATAGGCCTGTCATGAAAGGCACAGACCCAACCATATAACCAGATAATCATAACACAATGTCCATCCATGACTAAACTGGATGACTAACCCCCACTAAAAAACACCATAACGAGAAATGTGTGGTCCAGCTGCTGTAACCTGTCTGGTAAGCTGCTGCAGCTGCGTGAGGTAAAATATGCTGTGAAATGCACAGCAAAATCCCGCCCAAATTGACCAATAAACTGTTCTTGCGAGGGAAAAATCCACATGCGCTTTCACCAATAGAAACCTACAAAATAAGAGGGGGAGGAGGAACAGAAGCAAAGCGCCCTCTGCACTATCCCATGGGGTCCCTGCATAGTGCTAGGGACCCTAACATTCTGGAACCAATAAGATGTCCAAATGCAGACCAACAGAGGGGCGGGCTTTGCAGCAAACAAGAAATAACAGGCCTGTGAGAAAACACAAACAAATCCCAACAGGAATATATAACAAAAGGGACCCACATGTCATAGGAGCAACTGCTGGCCAAAACTAACCTAAGTGTTTGCCAGATAAAACTTGGCAAAAGTGTTCACAGAGGGCCAGGTGGCAGCCTTACAGATTTGAGATACTTAACAGTGGTGTTGGAAGCATCAGAAAGCACTAACCCTTCTAGGAGAATGAGCCGTAACTGGAAAGGGTTGACTCTACCTTTCAGCTCATAGTCCTGAGTAATAGTCCACCTAGTCCACCTAGAGATAGTAAAGAATTACTGAGAGGGAGTCAGACTAGAGACAGTAGCAGAGAGGTAAACACAAATGACACAATCATTTCCAAACAATAGAGAGACATTTCTATGGGATGTTTAGCAGCAGGACATAAGAATGGCAGGATAATGTCCTGGATAAGGTAGAAGGCAGCGTTCACCTTAGGAAGAAAGGAGGCCTCAGCACTATCTTGTCCTTGTGGATAGTCAGAAAAGGTTTTTTACAAATCAAAGATGCTAATTCCGAAACACGCCTGGCAGAAGTGATGGCAACGAGGAAGGCAACCTTGCAAGTGAGTAGTCAGAAGGATATCACTCAGAGGCTCAAATGGTGGCTTCTGCAGAGCCAACAAGCCTAATTAAGGTCCTACAGAGTTGGACAGTAATTGTGAGTGGGAGCAGAGGAAGAGTCACTAGAGGGGAACAGAAAAAAGACCAGAAATGTGGTCGGAACGTGTGGTTACAGAGCCACAGACCCTTAGCTCTCGTGTCTCCAATCTACCATGAGTGTGATGAGCCTGAAAAGTACTCATGACCAGTGGGTTTGCATGTACACTGTGTCCTCAAATGTGCAAGCAGCATTGACCCAGTTGCAGATACAGCATTGCTGTGAAGTCCTGTGTAGTCTGTGCAGAGGGCACAGCAGCAGGAACATGTAGCAGCCTGGAGCGCAAACCAACCAGGTAAAGATGGCGGACGCATACACAGTACGGTGTCCCCAACAGGAGGCTGAACAGGTACACTAGAGATTCTAAGGGCCTCAAGGGAAAGAAACATGGCGCTGAATTTAAATATCAAAACCACCTCTACCACTAGTTCTTGCAACCCAAGAGTCACAGTGAAGCTTGCATTGTTAAGGGGGCCGGAACAACACAAATGGGTACTCTGTATGGCTTACCTCACATGCTTACAGTCCACATGTGGTAAGGTGCAGCAGTCAGGAGATGTGCCCCATCCAAATTTTGCACTCCCAGAGAGCACACCCCCTGAAAGGGAGTCCATCACCTGATGACACTAGCAAAAAACTGAGGCAGGGTGAGAGATGGAGGGGTTAAATAGGAATGTCTTACAATCTTCACTCACTGTGTACAATGAAGAAAAAC